TCAACCACCCTCATCCCCAAATAAATGTTGTCTTTGTACCCTTCAAAAGTACATTTGATCCAAAACCCAAAATCTTTTTGAGACAGTTTTTTGTCTAAAAGTGTATCTAAATTTAAGCATTTATATTTTGTCCCACCTATGAACCAACAACATTAAATATTTGTCCTATATACTCTTTAAAAAAAAAAACTAGTGGGTCTTTGATGTTAATCTCTAATTTTCTCTTTGACAAAATAATTACATGTCAATTTGGAAATTTTCTAGTATCCTGGTTTGAATAAGATTAAATATGCTTCTGATTTGGTACCACTTTCAACTTTTGTAATCTATGCGTCTTTCATGCGAACAAAAGTCCATTCCTCATTAATGGCATTCAATGGCAATTTGTCATTTGGTGAAACATATATGGCTGGTGTTTAATGATTTTCTTCTTTGTCAACTAGGCCCGGGTTTAGGATCTCTCCGCCTCTTGTGTCTCTGTTGTGGACAGTTGCAGAGCATTTTGTGTGAGTGATTATGTGAAGACTTGGGTGTGAGGAGTCGACATGCTGGTACCTTTCTTCGCTAGCCAGTGCCTATGGTGATGTAACTTTGGAATTGGTATTGCTTCTGGTGGTTGCACGGTATTGATTCCTTGTGCTTGCATCTCTGATATTTCTAGCTTAGCTGCGCAGTTCAAGCCATGATATTGTTTGTGTCTCGCTATTGATGGTGTTGTTGTATTAGAGGTTTTGTGTTACTAGTGTGTTTGGTTTGGTGAATTTAGTCTTGTGGTCTAGAGGAGCTAGTAAGACCGGTAGTAGTCGGTGTGGTTTTGTTATGTTTTATCTAGCTCGGTGCTTGCAAATTTTGGAGGTAGTTGGTGAGTGAGCTTGCCCCGTCTGCATTTATTGGTTCGTGTGGTTCCCTTTCCGAGAGAGCTCATGGGATTGTTCTCCTAGTTGTCCTCGCATGACACACGGGGTGTATGTGATTGAATTCTTTGTTGACCTTCCCGTTGACGGCTCAGTTTGGGGCTTCCGGTGAAAGATTTCTAGTGTCACGTGATTGGGTTTCCCGGCTTTGCGCCTTGTTTTCTACTACCTCTTTTCGAGCATCCGTTTTGGCGAGGACAATAATATTGTCTTCACTTTGTTTGATATCCATTAACCGTCGTGTTAGTGTCGAGTCGACGGACTGAAAACTTTGTAGGCATATGTTTCCATGTTTTTTAAACTTTTTTGCCATGGAATACATTGTATAGGCCTACGANCTCGATTGTAATCCTGAACCGATTCATTTTTAATGAAATATTTACCATTTAGCAAAAAAAAAATATCGATGTGATATACAAAAACCAGTCAAATCTAACCAATGAAAAACTTGATTAAACAAAAAAATAAAGAAAAATAAACAATGCAAGACTAAAATATTTATTACCATTGTTTCAAAAAAAAAAATATTTATTACCATAGTGTAATTTGATTAAAAACCGTTTTAGCACAACTAATAATACATATATGTAGATTTGTCCCTAAAGGTGTTTGAATTCATTTCTTACACATTTTTTTAAAAAGTTAGTAATGTAATGTCGAAAATGAGACCTATAATATAAAAAAAAATGAAACCGAACTAGTTATTTACATAAAAAAAATATGAATTGATTTTGAATTGAAAATACATAAAAATGGTCAAATTAAAAAAATGACAAAAGTGGATTATTACCATATCTTGTAAAATAAGAATAGGAAAAAAATCCACGATTTATTTACATACATAGAAGGTGGCAGAATCGTAAATATCCACAACTTCTCGATTCCCCGCCGGAAATTTCAGACTCATTGAAACACCAATAAACAAAAAAAAAAAGCTCGTAGTCCTATAAATGACGTCATGTAGTCCTTCAAATTACGAAAACATCCCTACTCACTCTCGCTCTGACACAGGGGTACTCCAGTCATCGAAAACATCCCTTTATACGGAGAAAGTCCACGTAAGCAGTGCAGCACTGTGCACGCTTATGATACGGTGTCGTTTACTGCTTCCACAAAATTAAAAAAAGGAATTTTTTTTTTTTGTTGTCATTTTTATAAACAGTGCGGAAAAAAACAATTGTGACGTTAA